TAAAGCACCTACTCGGAACAAGCTTAGCAAAGCACAGGAACCACGGTTCAATCCCCCAGCACCACATGCCAGCCAGCCCCCGCCCCCTGGTGGGCTGAGCTGGCCACACACAAATAAATAAATAAATAAATAAATAATTTTTAAAAGTAAATTACCTTTAAAAAAAAATAGAAAATACAGTATTGTAATAGAGTCCATCCCCCGTGCCCCCAAAAAGAATGTGTCATATCTGTTCTGTTGTCACAGATGGGGGTAATGGGAATCAAAGTGAAGGTCTTGCTGGTGCTGATTAGCAAGTCCTCTCCCAGTAAACTCCATCCCTAGGCTTTCTTTTTGAGAGATTTCTGCCTTTCATATCTACTTTCAGAGATGACCTGCTGCTTATTGGACCAGGGAGTAGGAACTACACTTACACGGCCCAGGCCGTGAGCAGAGGAGTGACACTGGTGGGGCTCTGGGACCAGCAGCACCCAGGCATGGCAGATTACGTTCCTGTTGCTGTGGAGTATGCCATCGAGCCAGACACCACACTGACGTTTGTGGGGGACGTCATCTGTTTTAGCACTCATCTCGTCAACCAGCATGGTCTGTATTCCTTCCCTCTCACCTCACAACTGAACTGTTCTGAGGATCAGAAATCATCTAATCCATTTTTTCTTTTCCTTTTTCTTTCTTTTTTTTTTTAGGCTGGGGAGATAGCTCAGCAGCTTAAGTGCCTGCCTGGCAAGCACAAGGCCCTGAGTTCAATTCCTGGTACAAAAAATATATATATATATATTTTAGGTGGCCTGCTTGTTAGCTCAGTTGTTTGAGCACCTGCTTATGCAAACACAGTCAGGGACCGCAATTCAATCCCCAGCTCCACATGCCTTACCAGACCTGCCCTTAAGGCAGCCTAAGCCAGCCAAAAAACAATCCTTCTTCTTTTTTTTTTTTTTTTTTAATGTATGTGGTACAGGGTCTCACTATGCAGCTCTGACTCATAGTGATCCTCCTGTTTCAGCCTCTCCAGAGCTGGGGTTACAGGGAGTGCCACCACACCCAGTCTTGGTGGCTGGCTCAGTGTGCCTGTTGGTGGCTCTGGCATGGCACCAGCATGGCATGTGGTGCCAGGGATCGAACCCTGGTCCCTGAGCTTGCCTAAGCAGGTGCTTAGTCTGCTGGCTGTCTCACCGACTCACATTTTTTCTTCTTTTCTCATGTTGTTTTTACTTTTTCCTTCTTTTTTTTTCCCCTACCCCCGCCTTGCTCCCCTCCTCATTTAAACATTGCTTCCTATTTCATATTACCTAGTACATATTTTGGTTCTTATTTGCACTTTCAGTTTCTCACACCAGAGAAACAATGCAATGTTTACACATGTGTCTTTTTATTTCACTAGGGGCCAGGGAGATCCCTCAGTAGAATGAGCACTTGCCTAGCAAGCTTAAGGGCCTGAGTTCAATCCCTGGTTCCGCAAAAGAAAGGGAAAAAAAAAAAAAAAAAGGTTGATTTGTTTCACTTAAGAGTATGGTCTTGACTGGGGAGATAGCTCAGTTGGATAAGTGCTTGCCTGGCAAGTGCAAGGGCCTGAGTTCAATCCCTGGCTCCGCAAAAAAAAAAAAAAGAAAGAAAAAAGAGTATGGTCTTGAACTGTACCCATTTACGTAGGAATGCCTCAAGCTTATCCTCCCTTATGGCAGAGTAGTACTCCATTGTATTAAAAAACTAAATCTTCCTCATCCATTCAAAAGTTGATGGGTATTTGGATTGTTTCCAGGTTTTAGCTATTACAAAATATGCTGCTATAAACATGGGTGCACAGGGCTGGTGAGATGGCTCAGTGGTCTAAAGCACCTACTTAGAACAAGCTAAGCTAAGCAAAGCACAGGGACCACGGTTCAATCCCCCAGCACCACAT